AGACAATAAAAATAGAGTATAAAAGGTATACTTGAATTCATCGTATTACAAGGTTTTCTTAGATTATCTTAGAGTGTCCACTATTTTAACACCATCCTTGGTCTTACTTGGGGATGTATTCACCATGTTTAGGACTGTTAAACAAGGAATAATAAAAATCTAGACATACATATGAAATTTTTAGACAGAACTAAGCAGTTGCTAAGCCCAAGTTAAAATCGTTGTCAACGAAGTTGTTATGGTCAATATAAAAAGTGATTAACTCGCCCACCCCGTGTGGATATATACAAGAGATAGAAAAAAATACTAACACATAGAGAGTTATTACAGATGATATGCAAGCTATTTCGATGTTTTGTCGTTTGCGTCTCTCTAAACGTATAACGCCAGAGACATTAACAGTCAGTCATGGATTACAAGCAAAATGTCAATCAATTAAACTAATATTTAAATCCCGTTCTTCCATATGGGGTCTGGGAGAGAATATGTTGCTGTCTAGAGTTATATAAACACATATGGAAGTTAGAGGTCATGATATAATTGCAAAGCGACTCCTATATTTTAATGCCAGGTTTTTAAGGTACTAAAGCTCGGATAAGGTTATCCGCGCGGGAAGAGAGAAAGCGATTTAGACAAGACAGGAGCGCTTTGCAGCCAAAAGTTTACACAAGAATTCAGTCTTAAAATACATTTACTTCTTCGAGACGTTTACAAAGTTAATGTGGTCTACTTCTTAGAGCATAATGTGTTTGATTTTATTTAAATTACGCACAACAATTTAAATATTTTTTGTAATAAGAGTCGTTTCGTTTAATTGTTCACTCGCCATGGTTTCTATAATCCTAGCCCTACATCGACCCTACATCGACCCTACCTCGACCCTACCTCGACCCTACATCGACCCTACATCGACCCTACATCGACCCTACATCACACCCACATGTCGCCGTAAAAAACCCAACTATAAATGATTATTCCATAGCTTATCTTCATCGTCCTTCTCCTTATTTTCTTATCTTTATGTTATTATCCCTATCTTTATGAAAGACTATAGTCCTGACTATGAAAGACTATAGTCCTGACTATGAAAGACTATAGTAAAGACTATGAAAGACTATAGTAAAGAATAAATGATTATTCCATAGCTTATCTTCATCGTCCTTCTCCTTATTTTCTTATCTTTATGTTATTATCCCTATCTTTATGAAAGACTATAGTCCTGACTATGAAAGACTATAGTCCTGACTATGAAAGACTATAGTCCTAAAGACTATGAAAGACTATAGGACCGAGCTCTTTAGGCTCGGAGCCGAGCTCCTTAGGCTCGGAGCAAGCTCCTTAGCCTCGGATCAAGCTCCTTAGGCTCGGAGCCAGCTCCTTAGGCTTGGAGCCAGCTCCTTAGGCTTGGAGCCTAGGAAGCTCCGCCAGGAGCCTAAAGAGCTCAGCTCGGAGCCTAAAGAGTTGGCTCCGAGCTTAAGGAGCTCGGCTCCGAGCCTAAGGAGCCGGCTCCGAGCCTAAGGAGCTGGCTCCGAGCCTAAGGAGCTCGGCTCCGAGCCTAAAGAGATCGGCGCCCAGCCTAAGGAGCTCGGCTCCGAGCCTAGGGAGTATAAGAACTATAGTCTTTCATAGTCTTTACTATAGTCTTTCATAGTCTTTACTATAGTCTTTCATAGTCTTTACTATAATCTTTCATAGTCTTTACTATAGTCTTTCATAGTCAGGACTATAGTCTTTCATAGAGATAGGGATAATAACATAAAGATAAGAAAATAAGGAGAAGGACGATAAAGATAAGCTATGGAATAATCATTTATAGTTGATTTTTTTACGACGACATGTGGGTGTGATGTAGGGTCGATGTAGGGTCGATGTAGGGTCGATGTAGGGTCGATGTAGGGTCGATATAGGGTCGAAGTAGGGCTAGGAGTATAGAAACCATGGAGAGTGAAAAATTAAACCAAACGACTATTATGACAAAAAAACATCTAAATTGTTGTGCGTAATTTAAATAAAATCAAACACATTAGCTCTAAGAAGTAGACGACATTAACTTTGTAAACGTCTCGAAGAAGTAAATGTATTTTAAGACTGAATTCTTGTGTAAACTTTTGGCTGCAAAGCGCTCCTGTTTTGTCTAACTCGCTTTTTCTCTTCCCGCGCGGATAACCCGCGACGCCTGCGCAATGAATATCCTAATCTACCCGTATTTTTCCACACAGTAGAAAATGCAAATCTCTGATAAAAAGTTAATCCTTTAATTAGTTTCACCCTAACAACACATAGCAATCGGTGTGCTTTAATATAGCTTAAATTTATTAACCTTATCCGAGCTTTAGTACCTTAAAAACCTGGCATTAAAATATAGGAATCGCTTGACAATTATATCATGACATCTAACTTCCATATGTGTTTATATAACTCTAGACAGCAACATATTCTCTCCCAGACCCCATATGGAAGAACGGGATTTAAATATTAGTTTAATTGATTGAAATTTTGCTTGTAATCCATGAATGACTGTTAATGACTTTGGCGTTATACGTTTAGAGAGCCGCAAACAACAAAACATCGAAATAGCTTGCATATCATCTTTAATAACTCTCTATGTGTTAGTATTTTTTCCTATCTCTTGTATATATCCACACGGGGTGGGCGAGTTAATCACTTTTTATATTGACCATAACAACTTCGTTGACAACGATTTTAACTTGGGCTTAGCAACTGCTTAGTTCTGTCTAAAAATTTCATATGTATGTCTAGATTTTTATTATTCCTTGTTTAACAGTCCTAAACATGGTGAATACATCCCCAAGTAAGACCAAGGATGGCGTTAAAATAGTGGACACTCTAAGATAATCTAAGAAAACCTTGTAATACGATGAATTCAAGTACACCTTTTATACTCTATTTTTATTGTCTTTATGATTTGGGGGAATTTTGAATAAACTGAGATATTCTCTGCAGAATTCCCCCCCCCCCCCGGAATCTTTGCGAACTCCTTTATGTCAGGAATTTTCGTAATACCCAATTCTCACTGCGCATGCGTACAATATCTACGTCCCACAAGTATTACAACAACTTTAGTAGAATATATACCGAGAATGTGTTAAGCTCCACTCAGTTTGTTAGAAGGAATATATGTGGAGATAAATATATTAGCAAAGTATTAAATCGTAAAAATTTTCTTAAAACGCTAGTAATCATTCGTCCACACCTTTTAAACACGCTACAAGCGTGTGTAATTGATATGAAACCCGCGCCAGAACCCCTACTTTGTATACTACTAGTGTTAGTGTTCTATAAAGAAGTGCTATAGAGTAGTTTTACCGGCCATGAAAGAACATTTGTTACAATTGTTTTTTTGAAAATTGTTTCGGACTTTGTACTTTGCCCCCGATTGACTTTTCCCCCTGATTTTTTGTACTAACGTACAATGCCATATAATAAAAAACTTATACTGACCTCAATTACCTTACTACGGGTAATATCCAATCCCGGTCTTGCAGTATTAACACCGTAATAGCTCGGTCAATACAGCATGGAAGTCCTCGGTTGGATATTTTCCCGTACTGCCCTCACCCTCGGGCAGTAAATTATTAGTAATCAGGGCTTATTCGGCTGCATCATTATTTATTTATCTTTCACCTATATAATTGAATGTTTGGCATCTCCATATATGCATAGTGCGTAGAGAGGGTACTAAATCCGCTCGGCTATACACACTTGGAAAAAGGAAGCTAGCGCATTGAAAAATCCTTTCAATGTTCGCTGGCGCGTCATCATGAGAATCTTGTCACTGATCTCAAAAATATGGCGAGTGTTTGCAGCTTGATTTTAAAGTGGCACTGTCATCAAAATTTTTATTTTCTTAAACGAAAATGATCTTAAAACTGTATAATAACTTGTTTTGAAGATTTTTGTTCCCATGCTTAGTTCTTGATATATTTCATTTTGTTTGTAACCATGTGACGTCATTTACTCAATTACATATATAATGAGAAATCAGTAATTGTTGTGTATCTTTGCTATTTTTGATGGATTTGTTTAAAAGAAACAGTATGCTTAATGATGTAGGTTAAGTTTACAAACGCGCCGCATCTTTCGAAAGATTTTGATAAAAAATAGCAAAAATACACAACAATTACTGAAACCCATTACATATGTAATTGAGTAAATGACGTCACATGGTTACAAACAAAATGAAATATCTCAAGAACTAAGCATGGGAACAAAAATCTTCAAAACAAGTTACTATACAGTTTTAAGAGCATTTTTGTTTAAGAGGATAAAAATTTTGATGACAGTGCCACTTTAAATACATCAATGAGAAACCATAAATGTCGTTCAGATTTCTACTAATTATTTCACAATTTAAAAGGTTATCATTTGGACACTGAGTCTAAGGTGATCAAATATGTTCACGCAGAGTCTGGAGTTGATTGCATTATACAATGTGCGGTGCTTCAAGATAAATCATGTAGATCTGCTAACTACAATAAAACCGCAACTTCTGGAGGAGAAGAAAATTGCCAGTTACTCAAAACTGTTGATTCAGAAGAAGATGCAGGGAGTTTAAAGAGAAATGAAAATTTTGATCACTACACAATACTTTCACCCGAAAGAGTGAGTATACTGTCAGAATATGTTTATACCGTTTATACCGTTTATAAACAGAGTGTATCAAAACTGGATCTCAAATCATTCTGGTTTCATAATAAAATGAGTCCAATTGATGTTTATCTTCTGGTTTGTATTTTCCAACAATGTATTTGTTTATGTGTATGTTTATGGCTAATCGTGGCGTAAGCAAGACTGTACGAAGTCATTTTATCTACAAAATCCAGCACGCCTTCACATAGACCTTGAGGGCATGCAAAAGAGACTGTTTCTGTGTTACACGGACAGAGGGGGGCGGGTGGGGGGGGGGGTGGAGATTGAGCATTTGAGCAGCATCTAAGTAAAATATATTGTTTAGTTTCTTTAATTATATTTATTTTTAGGAAACTCAGCATGCTGTTTCGTCAAGCACCACTCTTCCAGCAAGAGAAACAATATCAACAAGTAGGTCTCAGTTAAGAACTTGAGAAGCCCACAATATGCTGTAACTAACCGAGCAACCAGGCACAACATCCGAATGGATCAAATCGGAAATAGAATTATGACTAATTTATTAGTCAAAACCAGGAGCAGTTGCCAAAGATGCAACTATAGAGCCCATATAGTTGCATTTTTCGGAGCTGTTTGCTTTTTAGGTCTAACAAATTTTTAAAAATTTCACTCAAATCTATCACCTACGAACTCCTTTTTTGTTTTTTTCTAAAATTAAATATCTCTTCTTAATAAATATTATAATATGTCAACTTCTATATTCCGTGTTTACGATTACTATTGTAATTGTTATGCATTTAATTAAATAACTTTTCTCAAAAATTATATAGCAACATCTATACTGAAAAAGACAGGTAGTTTAACAGCGGAACCTACAAGTATGTCCACAACGAATCAATGTAAATATTCAAAATTCATCTTTTACCCTAAGAATTAAATTTTTTAACTAAAACGTCTAAACTGAAAAAGACAACTAGTTTAACAACTCAACCAACAAGTATTGGCAGAATGAGTCAAAGCAGAACTTCTGTAATCATTCTTTTATCCCAAGAATATCAAATGTTATGATTATACTCATCTCTTTATATCAGGTTTAATAACTCAACCAACAAGTATGTGCAAAACGAGTCAATGCAAAACTTTTGTGTTTATCCTAAGAATAATACATGTTATGATTTTAAATATTACTCATCTCATTATAGCAACATCTACACTGAAAAAGACTGGTGGTTTAACAAGTTCAGTTTAACAAGTTCAGTTTAACAATGCAGAACTTCAGTATCCATCCTTTTATCCTATAGGAATATTAAATTGTTATGGTTTTAAATATTACACGTCTCTTTATAGCAACATCGACACTGAAAAGGACAGGTGGTTTAACAATTCAACCAACAAGTATGTGCAGGATGAGTCAATACAGAACGTCTGTGTTCATTCTTTAATCCAAAATGTTATGATTCTAAATATCACTCATCTCATTATAGCAACATTGAAAAAGACAGGTGGTTTAACAATTCAACCAACAAGTATGTGCATAATGAGTCATGTAATATTCTTTTATTAATTCTTGTGGTTCTAAATATTACTCGCCTCTTTATAGCAACATCTAAACCGAAAAAGACAGGTGGTTTAACAACTCAACCAACAAGTATGTGCCATTTTTGGCATTGAATGTTCCGAATAAACCGGAACAGAAACCCGAGTCACCTCCTGAGACATACCATCCCTCAAACCTCCGTTATAATATCCCTATTCAAATTACTCAACGGTCCTGCAAATCCCCTGTATCGTGACCAAAGTGTAATCAGAATAACTTAATAAGGATCCAAGCTGAAACTTCCAGTTGCAGTCATGCTAATAATTTAAACAGTGACAAACCAATGTTTGATGGAAAAATAAAGATAGCCCATTTGAACATATAAGGTCACTAAGAAATCGATCGCATTTCATTAAAGCTATAGGGAGTTTGTTATAACTTATAGCATTGATATATTATTTACTATATCAGAACCGTGACTAAATAGCACCGTAAAAAATGTTGCAATTTAAATTGATGGTTATAAATTGATTAGACTCGATCGCCTCCACAGGAAAGGGGGTTGTGTGTATGTCTACATTCGCAGTAGCAATAAAGCATCCCATTTGAAAGCTCTACCCTCAATTTCCGATACAAATTTCCATCCAAATTATATTCAAGCCCTTCTTTTGCGAAAGCCGGTTCTTATCAGTGGCGGATTACCCAATAGGCTGAGTAGGCTGAAGCCTATAAGGCGCGGGCTTTTGAGAGGCCCGTGATTTTGTAGAGAATGAATTTTTAATTACTTTTACTATTTTTTACTCAATTAAGCAATGAAATAATGTGATTGTAGCTAATTTAGTAATGCTATTGCTACCTTCCTTGGTTTTCATGAATATTGACCCCTTGAACGTCACCGGCTACACGTAGTTTAACTGCGCAATGTTCAGAATTCATGAAGTACCACCATCATTTTCTGGAAAATTCCGCTGACCGTTTCCAGGAATTTCAAAATTTAGTCTGAAATCACAATTTTCCTCAGCTTTTACGCTATGAGTTATAAACACAAGCCATGCAAGTAATGTAAAAGCAAAGGGACGGGAAGAGCGTAAACGTCGACAAGAGCCTGAACTTCAGCGGATTTCAAAAATCCAGAAATTTTTCACCCCTGCCGTGCATGTGCATCTAATACCGATTCATTATCTTTGCCTACCTCAACAGAACATGTGAACGTGAAGTCTTCTGAATCGCTATGCGACTGGGAAAATGCTGTTTGCCGGATAGAAAGACATGAAAACAGTCAGAGCCATCGTGTAGCATCCTCTGCAATGTTCAACAGATCTGATACAAAGAATCGCACAGACAATAAACTTTTAGAGCAGCAGAAAGCGGAAGTTGCTTAGCCCAGTGCGGTTCTGCATGGATAGAGTTGTTGCGGTAATCAAACACTTGGCAGAGCGTGGGTTTTCCTTTCGAAAACATAATAATGATAATAAATTTATTTATCTATCTTAAGTATATAATAATTATATTAGAACATTATATACCGATAAGAATCTCAAGTATGTATAGACAACTAAAATCTATATATGTGAGTGCACTTGCACGAGCTAAGAAGGAACGTTTATGTCTTTCGGTTCGCGATAATGTGTTTTTGCTACTAATTGTCCTTAAATCATAGGGATTATTTGATTTAAAGAGTCTTGTATGAAAAGATGGGAAGGGTCATTCATGATCTTCCGCGCTTCACGCTTCAGAAGTTTTTCTCTTCGATCAGAGAGGCTTTGTAAACAGTCATTGTTATAACCAAGAACTCGGAGGCAGCGGGTCTGGATTCGTTCAATTTTATTACCAGATAAGTTGGAAGGCCACCCCAAACAAGTGAGGCCTAGGGTGCTTTCCATTAACACTGCCAGACTGGTCAGAACGGTCAAATTGTTGAATGAAACACAAAACGTTTGGGCTTTGGATCTATCTGACCTGAAAATTGTGATAAAATTAGAATGAGGTCCATTTTCGCTAGATATTTGAGAAACATCGATCAGATCTTTTCATTGATACAGAGACAAGAATTCGGGCCGGACGCGGTCAGGCCAATAAATGGAAAGCGCCCATATTCAAGAGTAGATCTAATGTTGGATTTATAAAGGCTATAATACCTACTTCCACAGGTAGATTAGTTTTCCTGCATTCTCTTAACATATATACTTGACGGTTAGCTTTCTGTATAACAGTTTCAACATGATTGTTCTATTTGAGGTTGTTTTGAAGCCCCATTCCAAGTAGTTTAAATTTGTCCACTCTTTCAACTAGTTCATGACCTATATAAGCAGCAGGAGGTTCCAATATTGATTCCGTGAAGCATATCCACATGTCCTTTGTTTATTTGACGTTGATAGTCATTTCGTTCGACACTGACCAATTTTGGATATAGTCTAGAGTCTGTCGGACATGGCTTATTTCCCCGGCTCCAATTGCTTGATCGATTGTGCAGTCATCGGCATACTTCGAGGTATCGACGGCTAGGTTTGCAGAGATTTCATCCTCTAAATCATCGATGCATACATTAAATAGTATTGGAGAGATGACCGAGCCCTGCGGAACTCCAGCTGGGCATGCAGCGGATGATGACAACCTTTGAAGCAGCTTTACCTGTTGACTTCTCATGGATAGGAAATCTCGAATCAACAGCCAAAAAGATTTAGTTAAGTTCATAGAGGCCAATTTAGAAAGGGGAATTCGGTACGTGGTCCACCATATCAAACGCTTTGCTAAAGTCAATAAAAATAGCATGTATACCTTTTCTCCCATACACAGTGTTTTCAGTTACATCAAACCATTTTTGTGAAATTTCAATCAATGCTGAGATTGTAGAACGGCCCTTGAGGAATAGATGTTGGTTACCTTTTAATGTGAGATCTGCACAACTTAATTGCAATTAAACCTTTTCCAGCACTTTAGCTAACTGTTGAAGCGCAGAACTTTGACGAAAATATTTTTGTAACGAAAATATTTAAATATTTTTGGTGGAGTAATTTTAGGCACAGGGGTTATTAGAGCTTGTTTGTACAAGGTGGGGTATTTACATTGAATTATACTACTCGTGATGATGTTATGTGCTACGGGAGTTAATGAATGAACTACACTGCTACATTATGAACTCGTGGGATCTGTCCACAACGGGAACTACCTGGGAACACTGGAATTTTTGCCCAGTTCGATCCTTTCATTGCAGCCCACATTGAGAAATATGGAGGTAAAGGTAAAGGGTCAGTGTCATTCATCTACTCTACGATTTGCAATGATCTGATTGATATCATGGGGGGGGGGGGGGTTAAAAAATTCATTATTGATCAAGTAAAGGAAACGAAGTATTTTTCTCCAACTGTTGACTCAACTCCAGATATTTCACGCATAGACCGTCTAGCTTGCGTTTTGCGGTACGTACTTGAAAATGGTCCAGTAGAACTATTTATTAAGATTTTAGACATGAAGGGACATACTGCGGAAGAGATGTTCAAAAGCGTGTCCGCCTTTTTTGTAAAAGACGGCATCAATATCAAAAACTGTAGAGGGCAGTCATATGACAATGCGAGTAATATGAGCAGAAAGTAGAGTGGTTTACAGGCGCTTATTCGCGCGAAGAAAGAACTCGCAGACTGGATTCCATGTTTCGCACATTCACTCAATTAGCCTTTCTCACGATGGCGAACGCCGCCATTTTGGTTGGCATTTAATTCTCGTTAACCAATGCAGACAATTAAAACAATGTGAAAAGCAATTTTTCAAAATAAACTAACCATTTACAAAGCAAATTTATCATCATTCGTCCAAAAACAGGTGTAACTTCGTTTTTCAGCTTCGTACAGAAACTGTACACTTTCTTCGATCTTCTCCTCATCGCTGGGATATTCTGTTGAATGAACTTCGTGAGAAGAGGTTGCCAGTTGTGAAACGCCTTTGTGATACTCGATGGTGGGCTCACTCGGCAGCTACTTCTGCATTAAAAAAGCGCTACGAGGACATTCGAGCAGCTCGTGTCTCCATTTCGAACGACACCGATGAAGAACCAGCAACAAAACAAGAAGCAAATGGTCTTCAAAATAAGATGGACCAGTTGGGAAACTGCGTCTTGTTGGAACTCTGGGATCGAAACTGTTCTTGAACGATTCAACAAGACATCCATGAAGTTGCAAAGTGCCGATCTGGACCTTAATGAAGCTGTCACTCTCTTGGAATCTTTGATGAATTATACTACAACTCTCAGAGATTCGTTTGATGATTTTGAAGAAAAGGGAAGATTACGCTCAAGATCAAAATCTTACAAAACAGAGGTGGGTCGAAAACGGACTCGAAGTATAAAACTGACTTTAAATGATGGTGCATCTGAAGAAGCAGAATTTACTCCGAGCGTTCGTTTCAGAGTTGAAATATATTTGTCTATTCTGGACAAGCTGCATGCTGAGCTCTACAAGCGTCTACAAGCCTATGCCAAGCTGTAGCCTAAATTTGGATTTCTTCACAATGTTTTGCATCTCGATGCCAAAAGCTGAAAAATGGAGCGGACAATTTGGTACAGCGATATCCAAATGACTTGGAGCCATCTTTCGCAGAAGAGCTGGTCCATTTTTGTGAATATTTCAAAGGAAATAATCTACCTCGCAAGGAAGATGCGTTAGATGACTCAGATGAAGCCGTAAGCGTTGAGCTTCAAATGTACCGGTTTCTTGCAAAAAGAGAAATCCACGAAGTTTTCCCAAACGTCGAAATTGCCCTTCGAATTTATTTGACTTTAATGGTGAGCAATAAGGAGAACGGTCATTTCGGCATTGAAACGCATAAGAATGTGCTTAGGTCTAACCTGATAAACCAGAAACTTAACAAACTATCTATAATGAGTATAGAGGCGGACGTTTTACGCAAAATTAATCGACTTCCATGATATTATTAAATAGTTTGCATCTCGTAAATGCCGCAAATCAATTTTGTAAGGTTATTGATGTAATTCATGTAAATGACTATAAGAGTAATAATTTATTTAAACCAGAGTAGCGAGCGAAACATGATTCATAATGTTTGTTTATAAGAACTTATTTAAATGTTTTAGCAGGTCAACATCTGTCGTCATCTTGCAAAGAACTATTGAAGACAAACAGGTAGTGCAAAATATGTTATTAGTACTGAAACTATATGAACCATTCTGTTTTCTTCTGACGATACGGACATGATTACTTGCAAACATCGTGTTTATTACTTCCACCTAGTGTTCGTCTGTACTTTTAAGATGATTCAACTATGCTTAGCATATGATGAAGATTACGAACATAAAATCTGCAGTTGACAAGTAAACGTCTAAATATGAACAAAAAAGCCAATGCGCGAAGCCATTTACTCCGCCATTCCTGGAAATAGTGAACGGTATATTTAGCGAAAATATAATAACGGTGCAGTGAACGCGCCAGCCAAAGTTATAGTCAACCGACCCATCCAGTGCCGGAAATTCACTTTTTCTGGGGTGGGGGTGGGGGTGGGGCAAAGCCTCCTAAGCACTTAAAAGTATCAGAATTTCGGACGTCTGCAATTTTCAGTGGCAGTGTATTTGTGATTTAGAAGCATTTGAAAGCATCAGAGTTTCTGCTTGAAAGTATTTAAACTAAATAGAAATTAAAACATTGTATGATGTATATTTCCTACCCAATGCAGTGTTGCACATTTCGTTAATTATCCAAGGTGTTTTTGAAATCGTAAGATTTTGTCCCCTGCAATAGCAGATATTATTATTTTTACAGAGGCGGTATTTTTATCTGCAAAATTCGGCTGTTTTGAATGGAAGATTTTTGGTGTAAGCAAAATTTTGTAAATATAAGACTGTTTTTGTAGAAAAAATATTATTTTGGAAAATGCAAAGATAACTTGGAGCGTTTATAGCGCGTTTACTATCAAAATGTATTTAGACTCCCAGACTACTATGAACTTTTACGGAGTCCGGAGTATGCTACCGCGGAAATTTTAAAGTCGATAGAGTACCATTGTCACCATTTTTGTCATCCTATGAGGTTTCAACTATGTACTCAATTATCATTTGACACATAGCAACTTAATCACAAACCTAACACGCATATATCGCGGATTGTTAAACCTAACACGCATATATCGCGGATTGTTAGCAAGGCCAATGTAATGCTGGGTCTACTACGAAGAACATGTGCCCTCCTAACAGTTTGCAATGTTCGGCGCACATTGTATCTTTCCCTGGTAAAATCCCAGCTATGTTACGCCGCAGAAGTCTGGTCACCATCGCAGTATAACAACAAAACGCCGTTGGAGAGAGTGCAAAGGCGCGCCACAAGATGGATCCTCCAAACGCGGGACATCACATATAGGAATCGATTGCAGATGTTAAATCTTCTCCCGTTGACATACGACAGAGAAATCAAGGATTTGACATTTTTCTTTAAGTTGCTAAATGGATTTTACGATTTAAATATTTCTAATTTTGTGTCGTTTGTTAGTCATAATCGTACTCGTAACTGTGAAAATCCTTCTCTCGTTCTTAAAGTTCCGTTGTGTAAAACAAGTGCTTTCCAGTCGTCCTTCTTTAACCGTATTGTCCCTCTCTGGAATTGTGTGTGTAAAATAGCTTGTCCTGCAGACCTTCGCAGTCTAACTATGTTTAAATCATTTTTGTCAAGAACATACGTACAGTTATTAGAAAATAGTTATAATGTAGATATGCCATGTACCTGGTCTTTATGTCGTAGTTGTTCGCGTCATAGGTCTTAATATAACTAATAGTTTCTAAAGTAAACATATGCTTGTTGCTTGAGTATTTCTGTAATTGTTTTCTGATATTCTAGGTATAACGCAGTATTGGCTATTTTTTTATAGTATTTTAATCACTTTATTTAAACAAACCACATTTTAATATGTTTGAGCTTCAAACAATTGGCATGTGTTTATTTTAGTTGTAGTTATCGTAACAATAATTTTTGTAATTTAATCAATTTGTAAAAAGGTAGAGAGCCTCGCATGGAACTTCGAGTCCCGTTTGCACTCGTGCCGTTTGGTATGTCTTGTTTTACTGTCCAATAAAGTTTACAATACTAAACCTATAAAAAGCGTTTAAAATATAGATAAAAGATATAAAAATTTACGTTCAAGAAATGAAATATATTGCCTCCCTCACTCGCCATATACTGTCACAATACCTTGCCAAAATTTACATCACACGTAATGTAAATATACCGCCACCCTCCCTTGAAAAAATTGTTGACTGCTCTAGATTGGGAATTGCCCGATGACATTTCATGCACTACATTACTGTACATTGAATATAAATGGCAAAATATGCATATAGCTTACTTTATAATTTATTAAAATGACCTTTTCCACCTTTTACCCCAATACAAATTCCACACCATGCTATAGGACATCATTATCCTGATATCACGTTTTATTATTTAGCTCGTCCACCAGCGGTACTTATACACTGCAAAATCAAGATTCCAGAGAAAAATACGACGTTTATTGTCACATGACTGAAATATCTGGATGTGGAATGGGGGGCTGGACTCTAGTGATGAAAGTGGATGGAAAAAAGGTAAACTCCATAGTGCAAACTGCATAATTCGTGCATAGGTATATATTGAATAATCGAGAATTTGTTTCGAGGTTTTTAAATTTGCACTGAAATTCGAAATTTCGAAAAACGATTCCTATTTGATCATTAAAAATAGTGATTTATTTTTAAAAAAGTCATTATCACCTACCTCCCCTCAAAAAAATACGGTTTTGGCAAATTTTTAGCCAACAATGCCTTCGACGTATTTAGAAAAAATTAGATTTTCTGTCTAGTGAGTCACAAATTAGGGAATTGCCAAGAAAACATAAGAGTACTATTATAAAAGTGCATGTACTATTTGAAACACGGGTTGAAGTGTTCTATCAAATTTATATAAAGAATTCTAATGAAGACAATGGATTAATTATAAAGCCACTTCACATGATTTGTCAATAGGCTTGTGAATTATTATGAAATGTTTGGATGCTATTTCAACAGTCATAGAACTTAATCCATAGGCGGAGAAGAATCACTCGCTAATCGAACTAACATCTTCGCTATTTTAGGCTAAACGTTCTGAAAAGACACTTTAAAAAGGATCAAATTTTAGCCATGATAATATTATATAATACATTATAATAGAGGGATTTATTTACACGTTCAATAGCGTAGCGGAATATATGGCTAAATTACAACGTGTTACAAGCATTAAAATTAATTACAAAATGATTTATATCAATTACCGTATGTGTATTTAAAATGACCTGATATATATTCATTAGAAAGTTCTATATATCTATTTAATTAATTTAAAATTGTACTCTTTAATTGCATAAATTGATTGCATCAATTAATAAATTTCTAAGGCATTCAGTTTTGCAAAAGAAGTTATCAGTCCAGTCAATCTACAAGATTTACATGAGCCGTTCTATCAAATTGCAGTAAAATTTTGTCACGTGTAAAATATTATATCAGGGTAGGCATCCTGATTAACATACTAAATATCTCTAAAAATCCCTTTGGTGAAGCATGGTGGAAAGCGATTTCAATGTTTAAGAAAATTGATAGTTAATTTGAGCACAAGTAGCATTCAATTACAGATAACGCTTATCAAAATAAAAAGCAAATCCGCATAATTTATGAGCATTTTTCCCAATATCAGTTGCTCAAAAGGCCGAACTATATAATTATTACAAACTGCAAAAGGATTGGGTAATTGACATTTTTGGTCAACTTTATGTAGCAATACTTGTATATCCAACATTCCTGACAAGATTGCGCACAAGACATGTTAAATAAACGGAAATTGTGGTCATTAGTAAGTAAAAACCTTCACTTTCTAGTAAACTTTCGTTATGGGGTGACGCATCAACCAGTGTTCCGGATTGCATATAAGTTATTTCTTAATTTTTTAAATCAGGGACTCGACTGTTTTATTGGGCAATGAGCAAGTGTTCGTTATGCAGTTGTGACTAAGATAACGGCCAACCGATCGTGGAAATACGATGTACGCATGAAAGAAAGGCTTCGAAGTTATCCCAGTGAGAACAGAAGATCTCAAAAACACGATAATTGGCATTTAATTTGTCACGAAAGGAATGATGAATGAGGTTCAACCGTGCTGCGAAGCTGGAGCATGCCAGAGACTTACATGCTACTGAAGCTGCCTGTCACAACCAATCTAGTGTCAATCTCCCCACTGGTAAGGATGTTCCATGTCAACCTCGTTCCCAGGGCTTTTCCCTTTTTGTCATTGGGAAGGCGGGAAAAGGCCCTGGCACCGGCCGGTCACATGACTTTCAACACCCAGATATAGTGGGTGTAATAAATTATAATAATAATGTTTCGAAAATCCAAGATGGCCGCCAACGTAAGAGTGTCCACAAAATTTAAGTGCTTAGAGCGGCTTAAAAATACGTTTAGTCTTTGAAATTTTTCCTTCTTTTTGCTACCGACGTACTCGAAATCAAATTATTCAGCTTTTATTACATGGGAACTATGTAGTTGCTGTTCTTCCAACTGGGTTTGGTAAATATCGTTCGTTCGCTAAACAAAATTAACAGCCAAAATTACAAAATATGATAGTGTTAATACGACAGATGTTCTCCAGCTGGACAGGCTTGCTTAAGAGGACACGGAAAGTGTTTTGTGGGGATGTTAAACGTGGTTTTACCCTTCCAAAGACTCTGCTGTGCGACGATTGGAGGCTTGGAGCGAGTTCTGTAACTTCTGTTTATGAGGAATATTTTATACTGA